GCCTGTCTGCTGGTGCGTATTCAGAACCTGGCACCGACAACGCTACATGTGCGTAAACCGCCACAGTCCTCTGCATCTACGCCTGCTGGCACACCTCTGGCGGACTCCGCTCTGGCACCGTTCTGGTCGGACACAGAGATGCCCTGCTCCAACACAGTGGAAGACTTCTTTCTCAGCCAGATGCTCTCCTCCGATCCCCAGATCCGAGCGGAAGCCCATGTAAGTTTTGCAGTTTGCTGGACACTGATAGCTGTCTTGCGTCGAAAAAACTAAACATACACGGCTACTCACTTATTCCAAGTAGTCTAATTACATGTAATCCCCTTCTGGAATGATACCAGGGCTTATTGGAGATGCCAAATGACTCGAGGCAGTTGGTGAGACAGAGCAAATAGTCGAAAATCTCCTTGAACAGTGTTGGGAAACAGTGGAAGTTTGAAAGCAATTTGAAGGGTTTGAAGGACCAACAAAACGTTTTTCCTTCCAGTTAAGTTTGCTTGATTGTTTTATCCGGAAGATCGAATAACAACCATCTGTCCCTATATGTTCTCAACAATTTTTAGTGATATCCACTTACTTTACCGAGTTTCGGGTTTCCCTCCGGCAAGTGTTGCCGGCCTCTCATGTGTATACTCGCATTGGGTTGCTCTTTTATTTAAAAGCTCATATTTAGCCTAGATCTTCCACGTACTCGCCAATTTCAGGGCAGGTCACCACAGCTTTAACTAGTCGGACATCTTGAGTCCAGTATCACCTTTAACTCCGCATATCGATAAACAACATTTTTCTTCGGCGCGTATTTAGTGTTTACAGGAAATATCGTGTCAGATAACTACAATCGATTGCCGACCTCATGAAAGCAGCAGTAAACATCCTAATAAAAATGAAGAAAATATGGTTTACCGAGTAATACGACGTTGCTTAGAGAAAGCAGTTTTTTTTAGAGAAACGGAGGATTCCAAAAAAGTGAAAAATCGGGATAACTAAGTAAAGTTAAGTTTGCAATATGCGGATATTCCTTCTTATGCAGCTGCCTGTTTGGGTCATTGCTTTAGAATCATCTAAAAACTGCGATATCTCATGCATACATTTATCTAATTTTCATGAAGGCAAAATGAAACTTTCCTTTTTCCGAAAAGAACTAATTAAAATCTTTCCGGCTTATATTAATTTTATTTTATAGTACAACACAACAATAAGTTTTTATCCATATCGTTTAATAGCGTAGGAAATTTGTTGGATATGAAAAAAGTTGGATTTGGCCCACTTTTCGCCCAACACACTGATCTGAACTGAAATATTTTCGAGTAAAGAGCATTTTGTTCCTCAAATAAATTCAGTGAACAGAATAAACAACCTCACATGTATGCCAAATCACCCCCTCGGATTTCCATCTTCACATTTAATGATTAAGGCCATATACGGTAGACATGTGTCTTAACCCAGCCTTGCTCACTATTCCTTTTTTTAAAAATCATTTTGCGGCCTCCTTTCAGGACCGATTTGCAGTTTTGTGGCATCTCCTACGGGCCCAGTCCATGAACAATGCTCTACTGAATGGCGGCTCGCAGTCTCCTCACAGCGGCCACGCTACTAGCTGGCGGCGAAACG